TTATTTATATGAAAAAGTGGTAAATTAGACGATGATAGAAAAATTTGGAAGCTGGCTTACATGCTTTGCTGCCATGGGTTGTTTACATTTCGTGATGTCGAAGATGTATGATCCGAAAGCAGATCTTGCTGATCCTTCCACAACGTTTGGCCCATGGAGAGACTTGATAATTTATCTTGAGATTTATTCGAATTAGATATAGAATGCCAAAGCTCGGTCGATTGAATAAATTCCGGGTAGTATTTCTGAACTAGTAGTGACTTAGTATCCGCTTGCGCCGTATCAAATAGGCTCCGGTTGATGCGATATTTACCTTTACCACTTGATAAAAGAGACATTTGTTCAACGATAGAGCGCTTAGTTGAAGAAGATACTGGAACTGCACAAATAGATTCTGACCGTAAGTATTTCCTGTAAATAATCTTTGCAACTTGAAAGAGCTTAGCTGAATCATTTGGGTCTATATTAGAGCGAAAGCCTTTACATGCGAACCAAAAGTCAAGCAAATGACCTAAGGAATGCTTAGAAGAAAGAAATTTGTGAAAAAGTACAATTCCATCTGAATCCTCCAACAGTCTATCGAGACCACTTGACCAACGGCAATAAGCAGCCAAAGTCGAACAGTTCATTTTTTGCATAGCTATGTTTGATCCGTCAAGAACCCTATATGGACCTTCAAAGTCGACTATCTGACGTGAAGAAATTAATTCATGTACAAGATTGGTGTTATCAGAGCATAATGATGACATATTATTATTGTTCATAACATTATCTTCAACAAGAGTAAGTGATCGTTGAGCGTCTACCATCATTATCCTTTAAGAAGACTATATTTATGCTTAAATCATTTCAATATTAAATTAAAAGTCCACAAAATAATGGGCTTGAACCCATATGAAAAAATTGACATCCACGAGGAAGCCTAATGCTGACTAGTTGGACAAAAGTATAAAAAACTAGGCGCGCCTAGTACATTACGCTGCTAAAAAGTATTTTAGTTGATTAAAACAATTATATTATAAAAAGTCGTATTAACTTTTTTAAAAATCCTTTTTGGCAAAAAAATATATTTTTGTCAATAACGATAGTTTTGTTACGATGCTTAGTAAAACTGGTATAAATATTGATTTTTAAGACAATAACATATGCTTAATTTATGAATATATTCTTTGCAAGTATAGATATACTTGACTAGCAAGATAAGAACTAAGAGAATCACATGTGATACTATTGTTAGGAGTATAGGAATCTAACCCTTATATATAAATGATTCCCGTAGGACTTAATTATGTAAAGATAAGGGATACATCTATGGAGAAGCTAAATTTAACAGAGCTGGTAAACTTGTGAAATAAACTAATACAATTATTACTCCTTTGAAGTAATCCGATCATAATGCTTATTCGTATGCCCGCGATAATCGGAGTCTATGGTCACCTGCAAATTTATCCTTAATCCATTTTTTTACTCTCCGAAATCCTTAGTCAGACTATAATAAGGGCTGGTGGAACATGCATTTTCAATCTATCATAAATGACAGTTGACTATTACAATATATAAAATACCTGAGCTACATCATGTATTAAAATCTAAATTTTTGAATATTTTCTATGAGCACTTAGGGTTAAGTCAGAATTTCATTTTTTTTATTTTTGGTATAAACACTAAGATGGATTTGCCTGTAGTTTATTTTACAGTCTTTTTTAGCTGTATGATGTTGGTTTGGCTTCGTTTTCGTAACTTGGTTGGACATGTGGTAGACCTTGTTGAAAGGTGCTAGCCCTGTGTCCTGTGTGCTCGAGTGTTCATGATGATTTCCATCATCGGACCGTTGACTTAGTTCCTTTCCAGAAGTTTCACTGGTATCGTCACTGCGACGCATAGTCTTTAGCAGAGAGATACATCATCGACAATCCCGCCCGCCAGTGTGATATAGGTAAATATATAGCTTTGCTTGAAATTGCTATATGATCTGTGGCCAAAGGAAACTCGTCGCAATTTGGAGTAGTACACCAGAATTATTTGAAACCCTCTGGAGGTGTTGATAAGACCTAGGCGATGTGGAAAGTACAGTCCATTTTGGATGAGAATATACTTTGTGGAAGCAAGACTATGTGAAATTCAATGGAAACGTCAAATATACGCATAGATATTTATATACATACTTAGCTACTCGTCCTTTATCACCTTAAAAAATATGGTAAATATATCTCATATTAGCTGTTTATTGTCGCACTAGCTGCTTAGAATTAAGTTAGACACAGGGGTGGAGAGATAAATGAGGATAACGGGATCATGCGTCTGAAGTAAAGTGAGAGGAAGATTCCTAGACATGGGTATATGCATTATCGGATCTAACTCCTCAAATATTAAGTAAGCAACCAGATTTCAGACTGCGAGAAGTGAATTTTATGTATAGGATGAACCAAATGACAAGTGGGTCGAAAAAGAGAGGCTAAATGAAAATCAGAAGCCTTGCAAATTGCATCTGAATCAGGTGTGCATATCAATACATCCAAATTGGGAGCCTGGAAAGATCCCATCGCTAATCCTTGTGCTTGTTTGTATAACTTACCATCGAAGTTAAAATATTTGGAATTCATGGATATGTTAATAAGTCTAATAATGTAATCAAAACTTTTCCTTATTCCTTGTGTTATCTCTGATATTTCGGTATCCATTTTCCTGCATAGGCTCAGATTTTTCTTGATTCGTGAGATAATTTTTTATCCTGTTTCGTCAAAATATTTCCGTTTGCACGCGTCGCATGATAAACAATAAACTCTTGAGCAACCCAATTTATTTACCCTTTCATGTTGCGTGGGTAGACTTGTGAAAAGTGTTGATTTATCTTTCATTGCCACCTGAATATTTCATTTACTTAATATTGGCCGTAGTTTTTTATTTAGATCCCAGAAAGGTAAACCTATCCACTTTTGTGAATCATTCTCCATCCTTACTGTCCTTTCATAGTCGCCATTTCTTTGTAGCACTTGATTGTGTAGTCACAGCCAAGGATTATCCTCGTCAAATTATCTAGCTCCTCGTCCTGGAATTCTATATCCGTTACGCGTAGGCTTTGGATAATCATGATCCTTATCAGTCCTATCTTTAGCCTGTAATTGTGATGGGACCGGAAATTGAGTATTATCTAGTCACCGGACTTCTTTCTGAACAGTTTCTTTTTGAGCGTCCCATTAGAGCGAATCACTTCAATATCCAGGAATGGTAAACACTCACCTTCCTCTACTTCCATCGTGAATTGAATTTTTTTATCAATCTAATTTATCAACTTCAGAAACTCTTCCAGTTTTGTTTTTCATGTGACCAAAGGGCGAAGTAATCATCCGCATGAGCATTGCCGGTTGTAAAGCTGCTATCTTTAAGTTCTCTTCTATTTTTTTATGTATACGTTTGCCAAAAGTGGTGAAAGCGGCGATCCAATGGGAAATTCAAATATTTGTTCATAGAGGTTCCCGTTAAATATAAAATTACTTGTCCTTATTCTCAAGTTGATTAGTCTTGTTAACGACTCCCTACCGATCCGTTGTAAATCCAGGATATCCTCCTCTCGATCCAGGATCTCCAACAGGGCCGTTAGAGCATTTTCTCCACAGATATGTGTATACATAAATTACAAATCTAAACTTACAGATAAGTTTGTTTCTTCCAATGCAATTTTTTTGATTTTTTGGAAAAATTCATAAAATGTTTCAACGTGTTAGAAAGCCTCTCGTTTATTTTCTGAAGTTTCAAACATATAAACTTTGCTAATTTGTATAGAAATTGTTTGACCTTGATTTACAACTTGGTCATGTTGGTAGGAAGGCTTAAAGGAATGCACCTTGTCCTAAATCCATTGTATTCATAATTATTTCCAAAGTCGAATTGTGGACGTGGTACATTTCCAGACATTTCGCCGGCATCGTCAGTGAGTTTTACCATTCGTATCACCATATTACAACTCGTCAAAGAGACAAATGAAGCTGATCCTTTGACCAAACGTGTGGTAAACAGTTATGGTATCTCCTGTTCTGCCCTGGCCTATTCACATTTCCTATATCCTCCAATCACGCCTTAACGGTCACAATATTTAACTTGCTTAATTAAATGTGGTACTGTGTGCCCTTTTGAGCGGTTTTCATGAGAACCATCCGTACTCCACGCTGGCCTTCTCACCCCTCTTAATCCTTGTGCTGGGAATGTTTATAAGATTCTGCCATATTGTTACGCAGTCCTCCTGCCCTAGGCTTTACCACAGTCTCTCTCTTGCCCCGTAAGATTCATCTGCCCTCTCTCTGGTTTACGTATTTCACTCGACCCCTGCCACCCATTTGTGCCAACTTGAGGCATTCTTGGCCCTACCCTGCGTCTGTGTGACTAATTCGAAGCTTAAACCTCTGAGTAAGTGTCATGGTAAGGGCTTTGCCATATGGATCACGTCTCTTATAAAAACTACTGTCAGCCCACTAGCTCACATCGCCGCCGCGTGTATCCTGTTTCTATCTCTAATACTAAGTCTATGACTTCTCATACCTTAGTCTCTTGTGTGCCAACCCACAAATGTTGTGATTATCTTGCTTTGACTTGGTTTAATGTTAAACCAAAACTTTTGTAGGTTGGCACACAAGAAACTAGGGCATAGGAAGTCATAGACTTGGTATCATATATAGAAAGAGGATAAAAACAGTGGAAGCTAGAGCTGGTTGGCTAACAATAGTCGTGATTCAATGATCACGTCCATGATCAAACACGACTATTTTTAGCCATATAGCTTTAGTCTTCACCGCGTCTTTCCTATTTCTATCTGTGATACCATGTCCATCACTTCCTACGTCCTAGTCT